CCTTCCAGTCCTTCCTGTGGATGGGTGTCACGTTTACTAACCCCCAGTCAACTGGGAACTCCCCAGTTAGCCAAGACCGATGATCAATGATGGGAAGTGGCTTGGTGAGCATTTCTGCCAGCTCCCTCACTACTCTTGGGTCGATCCCATTCAGCCCCATAGACTTGTGTGTGTCTAAGTGGTGTAGCAGGTCACCATCCACTTGCCTTTGGAATATGGGGGCTTCATTCCACTCCCCATCTCTGTCTTCCAGCTCAGGGGGCTGGGTACCCTGAGAACAATTGGGTTTACTATTAGAGACAGAGGCAAACAAGGCATCAAGCAAATCAGCTTTTACCACCATGTTTCCCCCCCCATCCAAGAAATGATGGAGATTCTCCAAGGCCCTCCTTTCATTGTTCATGTATTTTATAGAAACATCTTTTATTGTCTTTTACTGCAGTAGCCAGATTAAGTCCTAGCTTCTGATTTTCTCCCTGCATAACCTCATAACAGCACTGTAGTCCTCCTGAGTTGCCTGCCCCTTACTCCAAAGGTCATAAAGTCTCCCTTCTTCCGTGACTTCCAGCCAAAGCTCTCTGCTCAATCAGGCTGGCCTTCTTCCCTGCTGTCTCATCTTTTGGCACATATGGATAGCCTGCTCCTGCACATTTAAGATTTCCTTCCTGAAGAATGTTCAGTGTACCTGGATTCCTTTGCCCTTCAGGACGGCCTCCCAAGGGACCCTCTCGATGAGGCTTCTAAAGAGGCCAAAGATTGCCTTCCAGAAGACCAAGGTGGCAGTTCTGATGACCGTCCCCGCTCCTTACATCTCTGAGAGTTGAAAACCCTATAATTTCTTGATCACTATGCCCAAGACAGGAAACCATCACATCACTCACAAGTCCTTCTCTGTTCAAAAATAACAGGTCCAGTGGGGCACCTGGGCCCAAAGACCCTCTAAAGCAGATTCGCACGGGACCTTACACACTAATACCTTCAGCACCCTAAAGCTTGCTCTTCTAAAATCCAGGGTAGTGTCTCTGGTGACAGTTTTGCTCATATTGCCAGCGATTTTAAACTCAACAATTTCATGATCGCTGTGGCCAAGACAGCCACCAATCATCATCTCACCCACAAGACCATCTCTATTTACAAACAACAGACCTAGGAGAGCATCTTTCCTACTCAGCTCCCCTTAGCACCTGCAGCAAAAAGTAATCTCCAGTGCACTTCGGGACTCTGAAATTCAGACTTTTGCAGTGGGTCCGTGCAAACCTCATGAGGTTCAACAAGGCCAAGTTCAACAACTTGCACCTGGGTCAGATCAATCTCCACGATCAGTACAGAGACGGGGATGATGGGATTGAGAAAAGAGAAGGAGGACTTGGTGATACTGGTGGAATTAAAATTGGACGTAAACCAGCAACATGTGCTTGCAGCCCAGAAAGCCAACCGTATCCTGAGCTTCATAAAAGGAAGCGTGACCAGCAGGTCAAGGGAGGTGATTCTCCCCCTCTCCTCTGCTATGGTGAGACACTTCCTGGAGCACTCAGCACAGCTCTGGCATCCCCAGTATGAGAAACGCTTGGACCCGTCGGAGCAGGTCCAGAGGAGAGCCATGAGAGCGATCAAAGGACTGGAACACTTCTGCTGTAAAGAAGGGCTGCGAGAGTTGGAGCTGTTCAGCCTGGAGAAAAGAAGGGTCTCAGGAAACCTTACTGTGGCCTTTCGATACTTAGTGGGAGCTTATAAGAAAGGTGGAGAGAGACATTTTACTAAGTGACAGAACATGGGACAACAGTTTTAAACTGAAAGAGCATAGGGTTAGATTGGATTGACAGAAAACAGTATTTTACATGGGGCTGGTGAGACACTGGAACAGGTTGTCTGCAGAGTTGTGGATGCCCCATCCCTGTAAGTCTTCAGCATGATTTAGTTTGAACAACCTGATCTAGTGAAAGATTTCCATGCCTAGGTCAGGGGATTGCACTGCATGTTCTTTAAAAGGTCCCTTCCAACCCAAAACATTCTCCGATTCTATTCGTTTCCTAGACCTCTTCTGATCTGCTGCATGACAGTCCCAGTTAACATCTGGGAACTTGAAGTCACCCATAAGGACAAGGGCAACTGGTCTGATTTCCCTTTAATTCCTTAGAGACTAATACGTCAGTGTCATCATCCTGGCTGGGTGATCTATAGCTGACTCCCACCACAACATCTGCTTTATTAGCTTTGCCCCTAAGCCTTACCCAGCGGCTCTCAACCGTGTCCCCCCCAGTCTCAAGCAGCCCAACGCCTCCTTTACCCACAGCGCTACCCCTCTGCCTCGCCTGCTCTGCCCGTTTCTCCTCAAGGGCCTAGAACCGTCCATCACAGCACTCCGGTCACAGGACTCTTCCCACCAAGTCTCACTTAGGCCACCGCTGTCATAGCTCTGGGACTGAGCCGAAGCTTCCAGCTCCTCTTGTCTGTTCCTCATACAGCGGGCAGTGGCGTACAAACATTTGGAATGTGCTCCACCAGATTTGGTACCTCGTGGAGCAGACTGAAAGCCCTCACTAGCCCACCGCCACCCTGACCTCATCGTGCTGTCCCAGAGCTTGGCGCTAGTGACCCTGTCCTGCCTCGCACCTCTGCAGAGTCACCTTCCCGAGCAACGGCTGCAGCCGGGGCTTCTGCAGGAGAGGGCAGCCAGCGCCCCTCACGTGGAGGGAGGGCTGCTGCGCTTCAGTGCAACGCACGCCACGAGCAGCAGAGCACAGCACGTGCCACTGCGTTGAAGATTTGTGCTGTGCACCCAGCTGAAACACTGGACCTTGGAAAGAAGAGCTGGCCTGTGCAGGCAGGCCAGCCCTTTTGTCGACAGCCATCTTGTATCGAGCTGCAATGATGGGGTTGGGCTCGTTTCTGTTGGGGCTCCCCCTTGTCCCCACTGCACAAACACCACCCTGAGTCAGCCTCCAACCACCAGACGACCCACAAGTCCTTCTCTGTTCACAAACAGGTCCAGAGCAGTACCTTCCCTAGTCAGCTCACTCACCAGCTGTGTCAGGAACAATCTTACACACACAACAGGAACCCCCTATGCTGTTTCCTCTCTGCTGTATTTCCAGCAGATATCTGGCAAATTGAAGTTCTCCATGGAACAATGGCTAGCCATCGTGAGACTTCTCCCAGTTGCTAGCAGATTATTTCATCTGCCTCTTCATCCTGGTTGGGTTGTCTATAACCATCTCTCACCATGATATCTGCTTTGTTGCCCTTTCCCAACTCTTGCCCATAAACACTTGAACCTTTCATCACCATGATCAAGCTCTACACAATTAAAATATTCCCTAACATAAAGAGCTAACCCACTGCCTTCTCCTTCCTTGCCTATTTCTTTATACAAATCCCTTTACACCATCCATTATAGCACTGATTTTCAATGTTCTTGAACACTACTGAAAGATCTAAGGCTCAACCCTGTATTCCCTAATAAAGACAAAAACCTGTATTTTCAGCACTATATTTTCAGTTTAGCATCACAAATATAAGGTGATTTTCCAAAGCCTCAAACACAACGTAGTTAGACCACAGTACAGGATCTACAAGTCCTCAATCAACTCTTACATCCTTAAGGCTTTTCAGAAAAAAAATAAAGGCAGTTTAGGGATTAACAGAAATAAAAAATGGTCAGCTACAATAATCATAACTCACCGGTCCTTGCTTCCTTATCATTCACTGAGTCCATCAAGTGCTTTAAGTTTTCATGGAATTGTGAGTATCTAATTATCACCAAAGGCCATGTATCCATGAATTCCTTGTTCCAGGCAATAGAGAAGCTCAGAGCACTGAGGTAGAGATCTACAGTGTACAAAACATCTTTCCAAAAATTAAATACTAGTCTCTGCCACAAACATGACAGTAGCTTAATCACTCAAATCTTTACAAAGCAGTTTGAGTGTTCTGTATTTTTAGTTGTCCATTTCAAAAACCCAAGCATTAAACAGTCAGGGCTCGCTAAACACTAAAGTGCTCTTCAGTACAAAAGAAAACAGAAGTGTAATCTGAAAAATAATGTGCATCTCAAACTAGTCAGTTAAGTTGGAGAGTTGACTCTTTGTTTTGTTTTCTTAAACAATACTTTTAGATTCAGTAGCCTTTAATGACGACAGGATAATATTTCAGAGGCAAGTTGTGTGAAGACATAATAAGTATCGTACGCACTCTGTATTATAGTATGTGTCACCGCAGGAAGTCCCATAAATATTCAGTGAAGCTGTAATTTGACTAAGGTTCAAACAGGTGTGGTAATAAGATATGGAACAGCCTATCTTAAAAGAAAAATAAAAATCAAGTATCTGAGAACTGAATACTTCCTTAAAACTATACTACCTCAGTTACTATTACTCATCTTGAAAACTTAAAGAGGAACGTATATGTTCAGAAAACATGCTATTTAATTTGATAAAACAATCAATGAAGCTCTGCTTAATTCTGTGGCTTAAGTGGCTTAATTCTGACATAATAAATTCTGCAATCTTCATGTTTGAAATAGTCTTCAAGAAAGCTACTAAGATCTCCTAAAAAGCTACTGAAAAAAATACTTGGGAGTGCCTTTTTAAGCACTCAGGTGTTAAAATTCCAAGTCTTAAAAAGAAGTTCTGAGGAAAACTTTAGTTTGAATGAAAAAAAAACCCATAAACTTGAAAAAAAAAATATTTCCAGTATTTCTGCAGATCTGTAAGAGGACAAGCAAACAAAAATATCCACCTGTAATAAAAGTGCTAGAAATCTTAACTAGAAGTCTAGCAACAGATTTTCCCTATTAACATTGTTCCCAATAACAATAACACCTGTTAACTAAGCAAACAACTATAACTGCAATGTTGAGGTAGCATTTCAAGTAACATGCTTTCAAGTTCCTTGCCATACAAAATTAAAACTGTTCAGCAATTCTTAAAACAGCTTCCATTAGTTAATCCAGGACTGTAGGAAAAAAGACAAAAAGGCAAGTTTTAAAAAACTATCTTTATTTCTTTGTCTTACATTTAAACAGGGATGTATTTTATTTTTAGATATCCAGCCAATATTCACTTCATTAGCTTAGACAAGAAAAAGGATATAAATGTAAATCGTATTGGCATAACATGAACATACCTGCATTAGTCCTTTGCTTTGCTAGACCACTTTGCTTTGCTAGAAGAAAATGTTCTTCAGCATTGAAATCAAACACTTAAAAAAATATTGTTGAAAAGCAAGTGCCTAGATACTGATCATTTCAGCCAATAAACAGCTTTTATATATTCAAATATTTTAAGTCTATAATATACACATTTTCTTCTTATGTGTATGGAGTTCAGATCATACAAACACTGTACAGGTCAAAAACCTCTGAGAATAAAACTATTCAGGCGTTTGAGAAATACACATACTACATGTACTTACAAATCTTATGAAGCAACAAATTTGGTAAAGTACTAAAGAGAAGGATGTGTTCTCAGATGTCGTCAAGTAATTACCTTTTCAGCTCAAATAAAAACAAAGAAGTAACTTAATGAATTTGAGATAATACCACTAATTTGTGGAGTAGAAACTTATGACCTGTTAAACAGTATGTTTTTAGAGGCCAAGTTCAGGTTTTTTAAAACAAAAACTTAAGAACATGAACAGTAATCAGGACAAAGATCAAAGTATACATATGAGCACATAATCCAAACAACAAAATAAACTTTTGGCTGTTAAGGAAAAATAAATTAAAAAACACAATTCAAAAACTTGTAAATGCAATAATGAATTCAAAGGTGTGCATTTATTTCAAAATACATTTTAAATGCTACCACAAAACAGACCAAAAATAAATAAGTATGCCAAAAGGCATGTGTGGATAAAAAAATGCTAATTAGCTTTAGAAGAATTAAAAAAAAAATTGAGATAATCTGAGTTTTGGTCAACGAATCTGCTTAGTCACTTCCATCTTTCACACCCCTTCTTCAATAACTGGCAGCTACACATGACAAAAGCACACCTCTGTCATTATGGCTTTAAAAGAAGCATATATTTCTGAAAACTAGAAAACAAGCTGCCTAGTCTACAGAACTGTTTGTTCATACTGCAGGCACTTAATTAGACTGTGGGAAAGTACCTGATACATCCTTGCCATCCTACTATAGTAGTGACATTACACTGAAAGACAAGAAAGTTCCAGGGGAAAAAAAAAAAAATCTCAGTAAATTTTAGATGCTATAGGCTAGTGTGCAGAGAAGGGAAAAGTGTAACTCACTTCCAACACATTTGTTTTCTAAATCAAAGAGTAAAATAATTTACAGATATCTAATATTACATGGCACATTCATATTTGCAAGTTAAAGATGTTGTCAATCAATTACTTCAGTGAACATATAGGCTTTAATATTGATTCCATTTTAACCAGATTCACATTTATTTCTTCTTTTATAATTCCTCTGTGGATCTTTTCTGAAAGTATTTAAATCTTACTGGCATTACTGGAAGCATAACTTAAATTGTATAAACTTCCGTATTCTTTGTACAAACTCTCTTGTCATTACCACTGTACTGCAGTTCCACTGTAGGCATAACAAAAGCAGGTTTTTAAACCCAGATGTTACTGGAAATAATTTATCTTCATTAGTATCAGCAGCACTTAGACAACAGTCAACAGTTAAATCAGCCTTCTCAGTATCTCTAGACAGTGACTGTACAACAGTACCACAGACAGGGTTTAATGCTGATACAATTTGACTACAGTATCACCAGTAATACAGGGAGAAAAGAAAAAAATAATCATTGCAAGTGTCAGAAAATAAATCTGAGTATTTTATTATTTTTCTACATGGCTGTGCATCTGTATTTTTCTTCTGCCTTTCTGAAGAAAATTGCTTTTGATACACTGCTACAAACTCAATTAACAGATTTACGACATATGTCTTGAGCTACGACACTGTTAATACTTCCTAGGACAGGAGAAATACTTTAAGTTCAGTTTTGCTGAAGATACTGTTCATTTGTACCATTTCATTGGTCCATTTATTGATGGTCAAAGATGCACTCATATTTGACAAAACCTTAAAGCTTTCAGAAAAGATGAATTAAGGAAAAAAAAGATGGATGCAGGAGAACCAAATCATAACACACAGGCATGACAGTGTTTCTAAGGAAGTCCTTGGAAAACACGTGGTCATTACAGAGTGGTTTTTTGTTGCTTGTATTTTTTTAAGATCACAAGACAGCAGTTGAGCAAATAAGCAGTTTCCCATGTTCTGCTTGGTTCTAGTCATTTGTGGCGCTGAATGCTTTTCCTTTTCTTCCGCTTGAAAAAACAGCAGCACCTGCAGGTGTGAAATGAATTACATATCATATGAAAAGAAATCACAAAACTATATTCTGTTTACTGTGTTTGCTTCACTTGAAGTATATAGTTCAGGTATAGCCAGCACCACAAGGAACACATTAAGCTCTCTATCAGGTGACTGATTTATCATTAGTGAAAGAAACTGAAGTAGAGATTTTTGACACATTTCACCTCTTTTTCAAAAAAAGTAACAAATTAAAAAAGATATAATAAAAATAGCTATTTAGAGTATTGTGTGAGGGCATCAAAAACATGGGCATTTTAAGCAGACTTAAAAATGTAAGAATAAGGAATGGTCCATAATCTGAGTACTCTTTCATAATAACTTGTAATATGCCAAACAGAAGCTTATGATTGTGTCACGAACTGTGCACAGAAGACATTACTGTCACTAACGTAAAAAAAAAAAAAAAAAACCAACAAAAAACAAAAAAACACAATTTGAGCTTACTTTGTCAACCAGAACTTGGAAAAACCTTCCCCAAGGCTATTACTCTATTTTTTTAGAAAAAAAATGTTCATCAACAATACAATTTATTCTGATACAGTGCTGTGATGATATTACTACAGTGAAAAATTACAGCTTTAAGTATATGGAATTATACTGACATCCTTTCTTCTCCTTTATTGCATACTACATGGAGGAAACTAAAATTGACAAATACTGTGAATTTCACTTAGCAAATACAAACCATCTGAAAGTAACTGAAGAAACACTACAAAAGGTAGAAGTGGAGGGAGGGAGTTAGATAATACAGATAAGGACTGCAGGAGTTCATGAAGTATTTTCAAAAGTAAACTAAAGAAGAAAGCGACAAATACACTAATAAAAAATTTTCATTTGCATGTAATGTTAGCCTTACGCAACTCCCAGCTCCTGACCACTACTTTTAAAAATAAAGCTTCCACTTAGTATTTACAATTTGCAATCAAAAGTAAACATGCAAGCTTTCTACATTAACAGAGCTTGCCCCATGGAATTCTGCAGTTTGGTTGTTTAATTCTCACTTGCAGTGCTGTACATTCACGGGTCTTGTCTTAAACGATGAAGTACAACAGAATTGAAAATATAAAGGTGCTGCATCGATAGCCTATCTGTAAGTCCTTAAACTCACCAAGAATTTTATGTCACTAAAATTCAAAAGTGATCATGCTAATTTAATTTGGAATATGGGAAATGGGGAAAACATTAGAAAACAAAGGAGAATAAAGGTCTAAAATTAAGGTTCTACAGGGGGTGAGAACAACATCCAAAGTAAGGGGAGACAGAAGTTACCTTCTCAAAATATCCAAGGGCACCCTGTCGCTCAGTCACTGAATAAGTAGCAGTGGGCAGAGGCAGACCAGAGCTGCTCTGAGAGTTACATAACTTTCAGTAGAAAAAAACATTGGTTATTGATGGAGAGGAAGCCCAAAATTAAAACTTAGTAGGGGAAACAACATAGATAAATATTTTTACAGCTGGCAGAAACAGACTGTACTTTTTAACTTTAAAGTACTTCTAAAAGAGACATAAATGTTTTGAATGCTTGTAGCCACCAACTGCAAGTGAAATAACTACTAAGCCTCTTTCTTAGCATCTGTCTACAACCACTAACATCTACTATTACTTAAGCTTTAAATTTATATGCAGATGTATGGAACCCAATTTAATTTAATCTTTCTTCTCTCACCTCAGTCTTTTCCCAAATATTTTATATAAGTATATACGATAAACTTCATATTGAAATACAACATTTTACAGTGCTCCCTCCCTTTCACTGTGAATTATCCCGTGATCCTATAAATGAGGACATCTTACTCTGGACTGTGACAACAAATCACTTTTCCACCTGTTTCAGACTAGGAGGCCTCACAGAAAGCTTACAGAAAAATTTTGTCTTGATTCATAATTTTAGTATATACAGAACACAGGTTAGGTAAGTAACTGTAGGAAGATGAAAGTGTGGCAGACAGCTAATTTATATTCATAGAATTATAGAATGGTTTAGGTTTGGAAAGGACCTTAAAGACCATCTAGTTCCAACCCCCTGCCCCGGGCAGGGCCCCCTTCCCCCAGCCCAGGGTGCTCCAAGCCCCTTCAACCTGGCCTTGAGCCCTTCCAGGGAGGGGGCAGCCACAGCTGCTCTGGGCACCCTGGGCCAGCGCCTCACCACCCACACAGGGAAGAATTTCTTCCTTATATCTAATCTAAATCTACCCTCTTTCAGTTTAAAACCTTTACCCCTCATCCTATCACTATACCCCCTGATAAAGAGTCCCTCCCCATCTTTCCTGTATGGCCCATTGAAGTACTGGAAGGCTACTATAAGGTCTCCCCAGAGCCTTCTCCCCTCCAGGCTGAATACCACCAACTCTCAGTCTGCCCTCATAAGGGAGGTGATCCAGCCCCCTAATCATCTTCATGGCCTCCTCTGGAACCACTTGAGCATATATTCTAGAAAAACAATCTAGAATTTTCACTCTTCACTGTTTAACTTCATTTTGCTTATATAGAACAGGTCTCAAAGAACAGCAGATGACAGGTCTTAAATATCTAGAACTACTTGGATCTGCTGTGCAATTCAAAAACACTTTAGGTTTTCTTGCTTTCCTTCCCAGAAGATTTTAACCCATCCTCGTTGCAAATCTGATAGTGTCCTCTATTCCTTCTCCACAGCCTATTTAGTTTGCTACTTCTCTGTCAGACAGAGAAAAAAGGCATCATGCAATGGGAAATTCTAACTTTAACTAACATAAAAGCTCTGCTTTTTGTAATCTCCTGATCTTCTAGAGTTTGCATAATACTATTACAGAGAGTATAATTTCTAATAGCAGTTGTTGTTTGTTTTAATTATAATAACTATTCAACTGTATTCAGGTGCAGGCAATTTCACTGAATGCTGAAGACTTACCTAGTGTGGGAAAATAAATCCCTTATCTATATATATATAAATCCCTTACCAATTGATATGTCAATATCAGTACAAATTCCCTAGAGCATTGTAAACCACAGAACTGTCCTGGAATCTTACTGAAATGTATATTTATCAGCCTACAGGTGCTAGACCTGTCAAACCTTCCAATGCCAAATAAATGTAATTTAAAAATATATGCACCTTTACATAGGAATAAGACAGGTCAGAAAACATAATAAATAATAAATTTTATGAAAGAAATGTAACCCTGAAATTAGAGATCCATAGTGCATAATCTCTTGAAGAGTAGAATTTATAACAGAAATGCAGACATGCTGCTAAGAATACTGTCACTAGAGGGTGTCATTATCACTTTTTATATATATATATATACACAATTTATTGCTTGAGGTCGTATTTAAAACTACAGGTAGGAGCATTATTAATGAGTATTAAGCTATAAATCTATGACATTATTCAATACGGATGCAAAATGCATAAGAATATAATTGAAAATCTCTAATTCTAGGAAAGGAACTTTTTTTCTTTTTAAAGAAAGAATTTAGTAACTGCTAAACTTTTCCTCTAGAGTATAAAACATTTCTATAGCAGGCAGTATAATACTGATTTATGGAACTTGAGAAACAACTTTTCCTGTACAATCTAAAGTGACCTTTGAGATATTATCTAAGGCAGCAATATCAGTATTATGGTTATGAACATTTCTTGTCCTATTTAAAATATTACCATACCTTTTTTGTGTTAAATAACCTTCCCTCTACTACTTGAGCAGCCCCTTAGCACAATATGCTAAAGCAACTTCACTTCTCATTTGTGTCTAGATAGTTCTGTTTTTGTATTTTCCACCTAGCATGTGGCAGCACTTTACTGCAGGATTATTAATAGGTGTTCAAAGTGGCAAAAAGAATGCAAGAAGCACGGATGATATAAATTTTTTCCTGCTTGCCCTTCTCTGTCCTTCTGTAGCAAAGCCTTTTGGTTATCCAAATCACACATGCTTCATAGAAGCAACTGTGCAGATGGTCAGCAGAGTTAAGGAAAGAAAAGCTAATTTCTCAGTGATAACTGGAAGACCATCTGTAGAATGCAAGATCTGCAAGTTTCAGGGCAGAAGAGTGATCTGGTTAGTTTTCTCTCTGCTTTACAACTCCAATAAGTAGTAACTGAAATAGGGCTGAAAGCTATTTAAAAAAACCAAACCAAACCAAAAAAGCCCAAACAAAAAACTAAACAAAAACAAACAAAGAAACAAACCAAAACAACAAACAAAAAAACCCCAAAACAAAGACAAACACCAAACCCAAATAAACAAACAAAAAAAAAAAAAAACACCCCCCCCAAAAAAACCAAAACAAAACAAAAGTAAAACAACAAAATAGAACAAAACAAAAAACCCCAAAAAACCCAAACCCAACACCCACTGCTAAATCATGCTTGCTGCACAGTAACACCTGAGGAGCATGAAGATGACAAAGCATAAGATTTAGAATATATACTGCATGTGAGTACACAAACATGTATCAAACAATGGAAGTGTTGGATGAATGTCCCAAAACAATAAAATGTTTACTGAAAAAGGCCCTTAACCTTCCTGGTTTACAGGATCCCACTGAAATGCTAACAGATGATCTAATATTCAGCTAAACAGTATTTGTGTTCATAATTAAAATCACACATGATACGGCACCCTTTCTTCAATCTTAAAGATATAGCCATGTTCAGCTTCTAAAACTATGAAAACATTTACAAAAAAGAATGAAGCATTTCTAAAAAATATTCAAGTTTGTCTCCTCAGAGTATAAAGAAATGCTACAAGCAAAAGATAAGAGAGGTTAACTGTGTTCATATTTTCAGATGTAGAAAAGATTAAGAGGCACAAAGTGAGAGACTTAGTAAAACAATGTTTACTTAAAACCAAAAACGTCTATATCAAAGAAATTAAAGATACTGGTGCTTGCATTTCCTTACACTCTTCAGCAGTGTGATAAGTAATAGAAGAATTTTGCTTTCGCTAAAAGTAATGAAACAATTACTTCCTAGGCTAAAGCTATTATTAGTA